AAGACCAGGGGCACTGGAAGCACAACTCCCACTTAAGCTGTCTTTTTCTTCCATCAAGGGAAGGCTACATCTTCATCGCTCCCAGGCCTCGCGCAGACCATCCTGGCGAGCACAATAACCGAGGTCATAAACAAGATCAGTGCTGAATAAGCCTTTCCTTGCCCTGAAACCTTTGTATTTGTGATCAGCAATAAAAAGCTGTACTGGAATTTAAAATCTTAGCCAGGTAAAATGCCAGAGATTATTATTTAAAGGCTGTAAATAAAAAAAACCTCTGGCTGTAAGAATCAAATTTTCACATTCGTATTGTATGGCTGTGGACTGATACCTGGGTTATGAAAGAAGCCCAAAATAAGATGAGACATAATAAAACACAAGCTGGGCTAAAGCGAGGATTGATTTCTGACAGTAGTTCTCAGTGTTTTAAACGCTAGCTGCATACCCATATATTTGCAAGATTTTAATTGCACAATTCCCAGTGATTTAACATTGCAAAAATTTACATACTTCCATGCTCAGAATTTGAGAAGCTAAGACAATGAGAAACTTAGGCTGACATAAACATGATTCAAAGAAAACAATATTCTTTTTTCTAAAATAAGTCACTGGCAGCAGATTACTGGCATCCTACATGGATTGAATATATCCTGTATCTCCAAGCTCTTTTGCTGTGAATTCCTTTCTATGCTGTATTTCTCTGATCTTGATTTTAACTCATGAGGGGAGAACTACAGAAAAATAGATAAACAAATACAGAAGAAAATTTGCCAGATGTGCCTTAGCATGCTTAAGACACATATAAGCACTGAAAAAATAAAGAAAAGATCAACATGAAAGAGTGGGCCAGAACTTCAGATAGGACAAGCCAACACAGGGAGTGGAGGACGTCAATTAGCGAGGAGTGACGAGGAGAAGCTCGGACTCCACGGACACAGAGAGTAGTGTGGGAAGCGAAGCACAAATGGCTATGTATCTGTTCACATATTTAGGAAGACTTGAGTTTCTGCAACTAAGAAACAGAAGACGCTCTGAAAACTGAAGTCTTCAGCAATGTCACTGTTCACAAACATAATCTTCATTTTTAGGCTTTTAGTTAAGTCAATATCCAATTGTTAGAAAGAATAGCATGCACTCTTAGAAAAGGAGACATTGCACTGCTAATTCCAGATAAGTAAAGCCTGGCTTTACTTTGTTTCTTCTGTAGCATTATCCCACTCAAGTTTATCTTTCATAAATGCTGACACAAGCTATAAGGACTTTATACTATTTCATAAAAAACTTATTTTCTTTCTCTTCTTCCTCCAAAATTATACCCACAGGTCTGACCGATACTTTCAATTGCAACAACAAGCAGCCAGACAAGAACAGTACAAGAAACTTTATCTTAAGTATTTATTGTTATGCTAGAATATCACTCCGTTTCCTCTGGGGTAATTCAGCACTCCTGTGGGAAATATGTGACCTCATTTGCATTTTCTAATTGAATTGCTATCAGGTTTCCTGCAAGACTGAACAAAAAAAAGTTCCTAGAGTTACTAACATCACTTGTATGAACCAGAATAAAGTTTATGTTCAAATGTTTGCTGGGGAGGAAGGGAAAATGTATGCTTCATGTATCATGAAATACTTCTTAAAAATATTTACCTTCTTTGCTATCATTTCATCTTACTAGCATTAAACTTTAATCTAGTAGTTAGAATTCTTTCATTACAGTGGTTACTAGTGAAAATTTGCAGATTTGCCCAGGTTATTCAGTCATCTAAAGCAATTAGCACATTTATAAGGCCAACACTATGAAGGAGGGGAAACTGTCATAGTACTGGGTCACTCACCATTAAAATGTCAGCTTGCACCGAGAGTAACAGCGCAGCTGTGGGATCTCAGGTGCAGGTATAGACAATAAAAGCTCTGATTTTGCAATGAAAGCACACAAGGGGACAGCTGTCCCAACAGGAGCCATCCTGAACTAATCTGCCACCCTGAAAGCATGCTGGCCACCACTAAAGCTCTCCCAGCCCATTACGCAGATTTCCAGTCTTATATATTGTGATAATAAAGGATCACAAATCCAAAGGATCAGGTATTGAGGGGTTTATGCACCCTCCTGGGAAGTAGACCGCTGCCTCCATTTTGCAGGCAGGCTATAGGAAACTGGGTTTGCTCCCCGAGAATGCACCAGGTATTTGCAGCAGAGCAGGGACCTCACTTCTGGTGCCCATGACCTCAGCCAGTATCCCAAACATTTATTCTGTATTAACCTCCCTTATAAACCAAATATCTAATAACGGCCATTTCATGAGGGCTAATCATGTTTTCATGAAGCTTTAATCCACGGATAATTGTGAATTAAATTCTGATTTATCCTTTCAGAGGTGATTCGGAGGGGCAGCAAGCTTCCCGTCACGCAGTGAGGCTGCCCCAGCGGAGGGCCATCAGTCACAGAGAAGCCTACAGAAACACAGAGGATGGGCGAGCAAGGCAGAAGGACTTGTTTGTGCTGTAGGTGCCAGCAAACAGAGATCAGTAGGTGCGCTAAGGCAAATTTCATGCCAATTATTTTTAATGTCTGGGAACTGTTCAGCATTTTCACAAAATCAGTCACAAATTTACAAAGTAAAATGGAAATGGATGTATGCACCAGAACAGAGAGCTGGTGTCTCTCCCCCCCTCACGTCACCTCCTCCCTTCTCTCCTGTATTTGCCGTCTCCACATCCTGAATATAACACAACAGTCTGAAGTATCTTTAAAAAAATTATGTAGTTCTGCCTGAGTCGTATTATACTATACAAAACCAAATGTGAAATCTGTTTCTAGTAAAAGCCATGAAATGTAGTATATTAGGGTCATGGCCTGAAAAACATTGAACTGGATATTGTTAGGTTTTGGCATAAACACTATTATTTTTTAAAATAATCTCATAATCATACTTATTTCTTTAGTAAACAAAGGATTATTTTGCTTGCAAAAAGCACAAGCATTTAAATAAAACACAAGTTGGATGCCTGCTATAGGGACCCACAATAAAACTGCTTATGACCTTGTCATTAGTCTTGTTTTCCGTATTTTTCCAGCCTCAAACTACACACTAATAAGGCTTTTAAAAAGGAGGGATATGAATTTTAAAAAGCTTAGCTCTCTCTGTTTTGAACCAGAGTTCAGCTTACATTAACATTAGATGAATTTCCAACCAAATATTTTACTAAAACAGAAATGTGTGCTTATTCAGTTTTCTTTCTGCTACACTGAGAAGAAATTTAAAGCAGTATATAAGACATCTTACTTTGTTCCTTCAATATTTAATTACTTTTGGAAGGAAGCAGTATTTCTTTGGTTAGAAAATGGCAAATACAGTTGACATAACATACAGGGCTTAATTATATCTTGCACAAACCAGAGCCTTACCGAAGAGCAGCTGAAGTGTATTTATACGACTCTAAGCCATGCAAAACCTCAGGGGTCAGCCCATGGGGCAACTGCTAGATTTAAGTCTCTCCAAGTCTTTTCCTTCTTGTCTCAAATGTGGCAAACATTCTCCCAAACAGCACAGACTTACAAGGCGGCATTCTGACAATACAGCACATAAAGTCTCTCCTCCTTTTCCCACTCCTTCCCTTTCCCACCCCTCTCTGCCCAAGCACTGCAGAAAAGGGGAGAGAAGAGGCCAGTCTTGGTATTTTGACAATTACTGTGGTGCGTTAATCCAAACTACAGCCATGGCCAAGTGACCTTGCTGGTCCCTGAACTAGCCATGACTGTTCCCCAGGACACACACCTTCATCCTTGCTCTGCAGGTCTTCGAGATCCAGCAATGAATCAGGCTCTTCAACCAATTTCCTGCCAAATCCTGCTTAAATGTAACTGCCCAACCATCACAGAACTGGGTTTTTTGAGTAAGCACCAGACAATATAACTGCGTTTACTCAGTATAGTACAGGAACTTCAGCCCAGACTCACACTGAAAAGGAAGGAGGAAAAAATGAAAAGGTGAACTCCTGCTGCCAAAGATGATATGGAAGAGGTGGGACAGAGACAGCTACTCAAGGAGCCGATCAGAAGAAAAGTGTTTTCATGAGCGGTCCCCAATTACAATAGCACTGTGCAGCCCAACACTGTATTTAACTGAAGCAATACTGCTCTCAGATTGCCGGGCAGGGACAGATCCTTCCTGCTTTTCAGCTACATGTATGAAACTAAAAAAGAAGGAAAGCGTCTGTAACCTTCTGTCTGAAATAGCGAACGGTGCTGGCCTTGCACTCTTCGGCTGTGGGGAAGGGAAGATGCTGGCATTGGGCAGAGGGGATGTTTGCCACTCCGGTGCCACGTTGTGCTTTGCTGCCCCACTGGCCCGTGCTGCGTGTAGCATATGTCCCTTATCAGACAGCAGCAATGCTCCCTTGTCCTTGCTGCATCGGAAGGGAACAAGCCCAAATCTCCCTTCTGGAAGCCCCCCGTGGAGCTGCAGGGCCATGCAGATGGCTTGTGGAAAGAAAGGAATCGCTGCGAAAACCAGGGAGACGTCTTAGCAGCATGGCAGCAGCAGCCAGTGCACGACTCCAGGTCTACGCTGTCACAAAAGAAATCTGAACTTAACCTTGTATTTCTCAAGAAGATGGCTGACTTTTGATTCTAGAGGGAGGGAGGCACCCTTCATTTGCAGGTTTTATTTCAAGACAAGAGAGAGTATTAGCAGTGAGATTCAAACACAAGGTATATAGCCTGCAGTATATAACAGAGCCAAGCTGTCACTTAAAAATACAAAAGTACAAACTTAAAGAACACTTCCCTCAGTGGTGACCTTAAATCATTTCTGTCAGAGAGGTTCAAGGATCATTTGCAAGAAATTTGATGCTGCTCGTGGTATCTCCTCCTTGGACGCTTCCTTAGGAAGCACCAGAGCAGGCAACACGAACAGTCTGATGCCGCACGTAACTTTTAAAGGTTTGGGGAACACAGACAAAGGAAGAATGAAGTAAGAAAGAGAGCTTTGAAAGCTTCTTACCTTGTGTCCGCTATGTTGCGACTTCTCTGTCACCAGAAACCTGACAATTGCCTCCCATCTGCCCAGGATCTGGGGATCCCACGCAGTCACCATCAGGATCAGCTGCTTTGAGGGCATTTGCACGTGGTGGGCAGCATACATGGTCCCATCCGCTCTCACCTTGAAGTCCAGGCTGTTGGTTTCATACCGAACTCCCTTGTTACCGGCACAGTTATTAAATTTTACTAGAACAGAGAGTAAGAGATGGAAGAAACGTGTGAGATTGGCGTGATAAGGAAAGCAATGAAACACAAGTTTCAGACATTTAATTTTCACTGATGTCTTCTATATCTCTAATAACCATCAAGGAAATGATTTAACTGTTTCTTCGACCTTTCAGGAGTGCTCTTGTGCTTTATCTCCATTCCCCAGGGAAGAAGTTGTAAGCCATTTTTAAAGTATTTGATACAGTTTCATTAGATCTCAAACACAGCTGTTCCCCATTTCTACAAGTGGATTTCTCCCTTGTTGCCATTATCTTTTAAATTCGACTGGAGTCTATTACCCACACTGTGGGTATTTTTTTGCACGAAATGTTCTCCATTTCCCTAACCCTTCAATAACCTACTTACCAGATAGCCTATTTGCACATTCTTAACTGAAATTCAAAAGCCCATAACAATTCCATTATCAGAAATATAAAAACAAAAAAATTAAACAAAGAAAAAAAATTAAACCGTTCCGCGGAACGCATCCGCTGCTGGAACCAGACCCACCCCCCAACCACAACTGCAATCCCACCCTGGCCGAGCTCTCCGCATGTTACAGCTACTGCAAAAAGGAACTGTAAAACTTCACTTCACAAACCACAATGCATCATTTAAAAGCCTACACTGTCAGATCAAAGCTCCCCAGTTGCTGATATTTTTATTTTCGGCATTTTTTGCTCAAATTCTTTCACAGTCTAGTTTGAAAACTATTTTTATTGGCATTATGAAACATGTCACATACATTAGGCTGGAAAAAACCCAAACTATTATACGACAAAATTGACAAATCTGATAGAAATTGAACCTGCAGCTAATCACATAGGAAACAAAATACTTTCTGCCATTCGAGTAATCCACAGGACGGAACACACATGTGGTGAAGGGAAACATATTGTACCCGTAAAAACATCTCAAGTGAGTGAGAATGGATATACAGCTTTCTAGCTCGGATTGTTACATGGGTTCTCATGCTGCAGCTTCTGAGTGCTTAGCAGCGATGCTCGTAGCCTGCCCCGAGATAAGGAAAACCTGCTAGCCCAAGTCGGATGCAGCTTCAGCAGGCACCTAATTTTTGCACAAGAAAAGCTAGGTCAGACGAATCCTACCTAGACTGGCTGTGGTGGGAGGAGAAGGGACGCAGTGGCAATCCAGGTGAGACGAGCTCCTGGGCCAGTTTTGCCCCACCTGTCCCCTTCCCCCTGTACCATCGCTGACTGCTTCTGCAGCGCTGCTTTGAGCTGAAGCAGGGACTAATCTGGATTTAAACAAAAATATTCGAGGGATGGCACAGGCGAAAGAAAAAGGCTGCCAGGAAACTGCTCAACCTGCTGCCAAAGCCCTGGTACAATCACAGTGTGGAGACACGAGGAGCACTCTGTAGTGGAGGAAGGGAAAATCCATCCCCTCCTTCACCAAACTGCACCTCTCAATGACCGGGGCGCCGTGATCATGTCTTAACTATACATCTTACAAAGGCTTTCCATGCTACATATTTATTTAGATAGCATTTGTACATTTTTATGCACGTGTAGTGGGAACTGTCACCTAATGCTGCAGTAATTATTGGGCACAAACAGCAAATGTCACACATTGATTTATAAAAAAGAAGATGGATAAAGTTATCTAGTATATAAAAAACCCATGGGTAATGCTTTCAAGCAATTTCATTGTCATAAGCTACATCATTAAGATCTTGTTTAATCTGGAATCCAGGGAAAACAAAAATCCCTCGGTTTTGTTTTGGAAGGCAGAGGCTTGCCCATCTTTACTTTTCACTATAGCTCAGACTGCAGCAAATAACCTCCACGCCTATCTCATCTCACCTGCTTTAGTGGAGACATTTGACCAGTTATCTCTGCTTTCTATCTCCAGAAGCATAACAAATGTTTTTTTTCAATGTAACAGGAAGCAGCATCTCCTGAATTACTCAAAGTTTAAATGAAACTTTGGTCCCAATTTTTTAAGGGACAGGATGTTACTTAATCGCTACTTTGACCACAGTTCGAAGCTCTTGGCACCCTTGCGGGGATGAAACCAGGATGGCCTGAGACCCGCAAGGCGGCTGGTGCTTCTAGGGGAGATCCCTTAGGGTCCTGGGAACCACCCTGCTACACGACCTCCTTCGTCTTTCAGGAATTTCTGCAAATCTCCCCCACGTTCACAGCCATAATAAATATGTGCAAACCCATCCAGTGCTCCACTGCTAATACGTTATTTATTTTCAGCTCCATGCTATCAGTGTTGTTAGAAATGACGTATATCGGCTGGCGTATTATTGCATTCCTCTGCTATGTAATGGCAATGCAAAAAGCGAGTTGAATCTATACGTCCTGAAGTACCCACATATCATATACTAAAAGACATTTGAAGAAGAGAGAAAGGAGTGATAATGACTGCACATTAAAAATGATTCAGAGCTTACTTTGATTTTATTGAGATTAAAGGAAGCCCTACAGTGTACTAGTATTCTGAGAGAAGAAAAAAAAAAAATCCCTTCCTATATGTGTACGTAGTGATTTCAGTATTCAAAGTACTTAAACATCTGCTTAAGACACAGCACATGGCTCCAATATGCTGCTCTGGTGTCATATGTCACTGTGTCGACTTTTATGCTCCATTATCTAAAAATGGCTACCTCTTAGACAAAGTCCCTCTGTGACTTGCTAATTACTTCCATTAGTTTAAAACAAACTTGACTAGAGACAGAGAAAATCCTGAGAGAAATTAAGTCTAATTTTTGAAACAAGCAACGTCTCTGCTCCGCATTGCTCTTCTCAGGTAGCACAGGTAGATGAACGCTCAGCAACGAATTAACACAGCCGACTCCTCTCCAAAGAGTCCTTAGGAGCTACAAGCACAAAAAGGCTTCAGGGACGTATGGATTCCATAGCATATAGTCACTATGAGGGACCACACCTTGCAGAGCTGCCTGAACAGCAGCAACAGGCCACGGCTCACCTGGGTGGCTTTGCAGAGGGCTTCAACCACAGAGGGGAGACGATTCGGAAACTCAGCAGGGTCTGAGCACTAGGGATCACCACGCTCAGCTGCTGTCAGGTAGAGCTGCTGCTCTTGCCCTAGGCACTGTTTATACACAGCATAGAAAACACATCTGCAACGCGGTATAGATGAACTGCTCGCACTTTCATCACGTGGCTGCAAGGACTCTCATTAGAAATCCTGTGCTCATCCTCCTTGCTGCCCTGTGAAAATGATTCCTCGGGATGTTACATGACTACTGAGATGCACTGTTTTTTATATATATATATATATACACACACATATGCACATATATACATCATATATATACACAAAAAAAATATTTTTTCCAAATACATATGTATAGGTTTGGGGAAAAAAATAATCAAACTATTGTTCTGTAATAAATAACACAGCTCAAGGAAAGAAGATCTTGTCGTATTTTCAAATTCCACCTCTTATCTCTACTCTTTGCTCTCATGGAAACAGAAATTAAAATTTCATCCAAGGGCAGAAAACTTTTGCTCTTTTTTTTCTTTTCGTTTTTGCCTTTAGAAAGCTCTAAGTCTATGTAATTTGCAGTTGATGAAACTCTTGGCTTTAAAATAATTTAATAAATAAACAAACTTTTTTTATTAGACTTAGATGTCTCTGTGGACACAAATCCATCTTTCTTTGACCAGTCTGAAGTCTAAAGAACACTGCATGAATTTATCATTCAAAAGCTGCAGCATCAGTAATTAGGATTTCAGATAAACAGCAGAGCCACACATCTATCATTTTTACAGGATGGTAAAAAAAGAAAACTTTTTTTAATATACTCTGGAAAAATGTTCAGTGATGCTTATCGAAAGCTTATGCTGAAAACAGCATCAAATGCCTGACGAAAAAAACCCCAAGAAGGCACCCTCATTAGCAGGCTTTTAGGTTTAACCCTTTACCCTCATCATTTTTAATTGCTTCTCTATGAAAGGAGGAAGTACGACAATTTGATATGCTGAAACAGGTATTGAGTGATGGGCAGAAAAGCTGCAGGAGTCTGCAGCAAACTGCTGGGCATCTGAGAAAAAAAAATGGTATTTTTCTTCAAAAAAGGACACAGGGTGAAAAAAAATTCAACAAGTTTTGCATTGTTCCCTTTTATTATTTAGCTTGTTAAGCTAGCTGGACAGAGTCAAATGATCAAGCGAGGATCTTGAAAGATGTACGAACACACTGAACTTCCTTGCCCTCCAAATGTCTGAGAAATATAGTGAATTTAATAGGACTATAAATGGCATAAACCAAAGAATTCACTTTAAGCCTTATCCTTCTGGATTCTCCTTTAACTTCTCCTAGTCCATTAAAAAGTGCCCCCTCCGGCAAGCTGCACAGGGCTGGAAGAGCAGGAGGGATAATACTTATTTATTAGGATATACCCCCTGGCAGGGCATCACCCCACAGTTCAGGATATGGGTCCCTTCAGGACTCTGTTTTTCACGACGGTTTTGAGGATTATTGCTGCAAAGATGTTTCTTTCCTGATGAACTTCAAAGCAGCAAATACACACCGCTATTTACAGTGGGATCCTATCCGCTTTTCAAGTTGTGTCCCTTGAAGAGCTCCCTTTACACCCGGCGTGACTGTGATAAACCTAAGCTGCCAAATCCACCCCTCGCGCCACTTCTGCGAACGCCATTACGATGAGGATGGCTTAACTGTAATCTCTGGAAATTTCAAATGTTTGGGTAACCTGCAGAGCCCTGAGCATGTACAGGAATGTCCCCTTGGTGTGATCTTTAGCAAATCACTTGCGTTCCTGCCCTGGCACTTCTGTCCTAACGCTCCCATACATCTGCATTCATCCTTCTTCCCAGGCTTCTGCAGGGGGTGGCAGTCCTGGCCAGCATTCCCCTGCATGCCACCACAACAGAAATTAAAAAAACCCAACCAGCTCCTTAGTGGATAGGAACCTGTTGTCTAAGAACAGGCATGAAACCATTCAGTTAACCAGAAAA